AGATTAGTATCAACATAAGTTTGAGGAACAATAAGAGATGTGCATATTTACACTAGTGTAATTATGTATTCATTTTTATGTATCAGGATAGTAAAAGATGTACGAACTCTATATGTGTAAACATGTGTTTATTTTTAGGTATCAAGATAGTGGTATATGCAAATACTTACATTGGTGTAAAATTGATATTACAAATAAAATATAATTACACTATTGTAAATATTTACATCTAGATTAATGAGTTGAAATTCAAATAAAAAATAGAGGAAGATATTATTTGAATATATTTATAAGAAAATGTCATAAATAAATAATTAGCTTATAAACGAGTAAATAAGTAAACTTGTTCATAAATATAAACAAACTAAACACACATTTATTCGTGTTCATTCGTTTATTAAATAAATATAAAAATTTGTTCATATTATTTATTTAGTTTAATAAACAAACATAAATAAACATTATACCAACGGTTCACAAAATGTCATCGAAATCCAATTCTTTTGCACTCTTATTTTAATCATATTATACATTGATTTATGGAGTACTAATATTATGCATTACTTTATAACTTTATTTAGATGTTTTAATTTCTTAAATTATGACACTATAATTTAAAATTTATACTTTTGCCCCTACTTACAAATTTAAATATTTGAGAAATAATCATCAGTGTTATATTTTAAAATATGATTTTGCACTGTTTTAAAAATTTAAATCTAAATTCATAAACATTAATATTTCTCTTCATTTTTAAATTTTAGGATAAATTATACATTTAATATATAAACTATCAATTTTAGTCCATTTTAATATATAAACTTTTTATTTTTAAAAATAATCATATCTAATGTTTAATTCTTGTTTTATTTTAGTACTCCACTCAGGGACGGAGCTACAAAGGGAGTGGGAGGGGCTCGGGCTCTTGTCCCTCTCAAAATTTTTAATTTAATAGCACTTTAGGTCCTTATCAATTAAAATTTAAGTAAAAATAGACTTTTGTCACCTCAAATTTTTATATTAACGTAATAAGTCCATATTATTTTGAAACTAAATACCTTGGCCCTCCCAATATTTAATTCTGACTCCGTCTCTAACCCACTATTAGAAACTTAATACATTTCACACTTAAACTATCAATTTTGGTAATTTTTAATACTTAAACTTTCAACTTTTTCCGAAACTTAACGTTAAATTTTGAACAACGTACTAAAACTGAGAGTTTTGGTATTTAGATACTAAATACATAATTTAGCCTAAATTTTATTATGTTAGACACAAATAAGTTTCTCACCAGAGGTGACAATTAGCGATTTATTGAATCCTTTGGACACATTACACTGATTTCATCATTGTTGCAAACAGTTCATTTATCCTTTTTGATGCACTTAAACTGAGTTTGTATATTTTAATATGTTGGGCACATGTATGTCTTCCCCCCAACATTTTCATTTAACATACAATAAACCCATAAGGTATAGTTATAGAAGCAGTAAAATAGAAATGACATTTTAAACAGATAATAATAATAATATGATAAAATCCGGGCATAAATGGGACATTCATAAACACATGAACATAGCAAATAGTTGGGAGAAAGTTCCATAGAAAATGGATTTAAATCTAATCATACTCCAATTCATCGGGTGTAACTGGCCGCTTGAGGGGGATCACTGATTTCTTTTCCACATCTCTCGACAAAGCTTTCCTCATATCTGGAAAAATAAAAACTAATACACGGAACGAGAAAGAAAAGCAACGTTCTGGTTGGATATCAAATTCTACTTACCTAATCCATCTTCCTCACCCGAATAATAGCGTAGCACCCTTCTGTATATTATGTACCCAAGCTGTAAAAGGACAGAGATAGGTAAGTCTTCTTGCATTTATACACATATTTGCAGATACAACACAAGTAGAGTTACGTATTATAGGCTATTGTTACACGTCAATATCTGAGACACTTTGAATGACAAGGGAAAGCTGTGATTTCAGAACAGAAGAAAAAGAATCTGAATGGGAAGAAGAACGTGCATCTGAAGAGAATGCCAGACTGGTGTAATATTGTCCAAAATGGGAAGTTGTAGAACTATTACCTTTTCATACATCTTTATGGCTGGTGTATTAGAAGCCCTCACAAAAAGATCCACAAAATATGCCTTGTCACTGCCAAACGACTACTTAATGATGACCTAAGAGAGAACAAGAATAAAGACACCCAAAACGAAACTAGAGAGTGCATCGGGATGACATTAGAGGTAAGAGAGTAATTTTCAGTTTAAAAGCACTAGCATGTACTAAAAAATCGAATCATCGTACTTAAGGAGTATACAAATCAGGGTGATGTCAGAATCTCATAAAAAACTGAGTGAAAGGAAAGCACTTAGCAAAAGAAAAGTATAGACCATTACCTAATTGATGTCAGCTAAAAGCTAGATTCTAAAAAAGCACAGGGTATAAAAACCTTATCTAAAAATACCCAAATATACATGAAGCGTATGTTAGTTTCAATGGAAGATATTCTAGTTTTACCTCTACACAAAGGTATAAAATGAAGCTAAAACTTACGGCTTGCATTCATAATGTAAATTGCTGACTGAACCTTAAGACCATTCTAGCAGTTCATAGAAAGCAACAGCTAAAGCATGGTACAAATTTAAAACTTTAAAACTTCAAATCTAGTACTCGGCCCTTAAAATTCTATTGAAAAATATAATACTTAGGTAATTTCTAATCTTGTAATGCCCTAAAGGCTAACTGCAGACACAAGTTAGTCAAACCGATTTTAAGAATATCCAAATCAAGGGAACATTAAATTGCACACCAATCTTACATCTTATCACTGATTTCTTCAAGAAGGTTCATCAGTTTCTTAGCAAGCTGCTGCCTACGATATTCAGGGGCAACGGTGACTGCCGTTACATGGCCATGCCAAGACTCACCTTGTCCCTCAACTTTCCCCATAACTACAACAATTTCAAAGGTATCGAATTCAGATACAATACCAAACAGCATATCCAATAAGAAGCATAACCCTCTTCAAAATTAAATCTCCAACATCACAACCGTCTGAAAATTTGCGATCTCAATTACTTATAGTGATAATTAATTACGGAAGGCAATGAACACCAGAATCATAAACCGATTATATGTTTTCTAATTATGAGAGTTCAAATTCCAGATAAAAAAATCTAATTCGAAAAAGGAAAGAGGGAGACGGAGATCTCACTGTAACCCATTATTCGTTTGCCAGGGCCTTCAGCTACTTGAAAATAATCGGGCCAACGAGCTAAATACGTCAAGTAGAATGACATATTAAACTGTAATAATAACATGATTACCGTTAAAGGAACCAAAATCACTACTCGCCCAAGCATTTGTTTTGAGGTTTAAAAAAATAGAAGGGAAAAGGGTTTCCAGAACTTACGGTTTCGGTTAAGTGGTCGAGATTGACGGAAGTGAAACGAAGGAGATCGTTGCAGCAAAATCGGCGTATCGTTGTCATCTCTCTCAGTCTCGGAAAGCCGGCCGGAAATGGAAGCTTTAATGAAACGCGGAGATGCCGTAGTTGTAATTCAAGCTTGAATCTTGAGAACCCTTATTACACTTCAAGTAAGTAGGTCCTTTGAAACCATGGACCTAAGTGGACTATCTTGGGCCATTTAAGCCCACACTTTTTCTTGACAAAGTATTATCACAATCTACTCTCTAAACTATATTTATTTTCTGGCTTAAATATACAAAAGGTGTTCAACCTATGCTCGTTTTTTCAGTTTAGTTCCTAACGTTTATTTCGTTTTAGTTTGGTGTCTAATGTTTTATTTCGTTACTCATTTAGGTGTCCAAGTAGTCAACGACGTTAATTTCCCCTTAAGTGACACATGTCACAACCTGGTAATTTTAAAAATTTTATTTAAAATTAAAAAATTAAATATATATATATATATATTAAAAAGAAAACACAAATTTTGAAAAACCTTGAAAACCTTCATTTCAACCCCTAAACCCACACCAGCCACCGCTTTTTACCGTCGACGAAGCTTCACCTGGCCTTCCCTCCCCTCTGTGGCTAAAACCCCCATAAAATTGTGACTAATCAATGACGAATCAACATTTTATACCCCGTGAACCCTAGGATGAAAATCGTTATCCCACACTATTTCGACGCCCGATCGACCGTTAATCAGTCACGATTTCATGGGGTTTTTGGTCGTCGAGGGGAGGGGAGGTCGGGTGGAACATCGTCGACTGCAAAAGGCGACGGCCGACATGGTTTAGGGGTATAAATGAAAGTTTTCAAGGTTTTGGGTTTTTTCAAAATTTGTGTTTTCTTTTTAAAATATATATAATTTTAAATAAAAATTTTAAAATTACCAGGTTGTGACACGTATCACTTAACGACCAAACTTAACGATCTGTCACGGCTTGACCCATTTTGAGTAACGGAATGAAACGTTAGCCACCAAACTGAAACAAAACAAATGTTAGACACTAAACTGAAAAAAGGGCATAAATTGAGTACATTATTTATATTTAAGCCTTAATTTATCGAATTACTATAATATTAAAATTTTTTTATTATTGTATTTTTTTAATTTTAAAATGTTACTCGAACTGTCTTCAAATTATTAATTTTGTTTTAAAAAATTAAAACTCAATAAAAATATAATACGTGACATTTAAAAAAATTACCTTTCATCAATATAAATATGTATTGGTTATTTAATTTAAATAAAATTTAGAATATGAATTTGTTTCTTTGAGAAGAAATTCTAAAAATTATTTTTTTAATTATTTTTTGATTAATTATTAATATATTTTTTGATTAAAAAATAAAAAATAATTTAAATATCATGAAAATATAAATTTAAAAAATAATCTTTCATAAAAATATAATTTATTTTTTAAAATTTATTTTTATTAAGATATAAGGATTTTTTAATTAAATTAACCTTCTTAAACAATGACTTCAATTTCATCAAATCTTTTAGTCAACAGCGCGAAGAAATAGAAAACGGCGGCCCCGATATCCTCTATATTTTTTACGGAAGTCAGATCAGGGTTTGGAGAATAACCATATCTAAACCCTGGATGGATCTTCTCAGAGAAGAACTTCTCAAGAAGCGGCAAAGCCTAGCTCAGCAAACCGGCGGGAAGCGCGTGTTTAAGCGCTCCGAAATTGAGCGAAAGCAGATCCAGAACCTTCGCGAGCAAGAAAAACGCGAACTCGAAGCTAAATCTCGCCGTCAATCCAACACATCTTCCTCCGCCGCCAACGACGCTTCCACTAAATTGAATCCCTCCACTTCTAGTACTGTATCCACCACTGCAGCTTCCACCGCCGGGTCCTCCAAAACCCTCACCAATGAGCAAAACATCGACAACCTGGATCTTCCGAAGCAAGAAGTCATTCGCCGCCTTCGCTTCCTCAAACAACCCATCACTCTCTTTGGCGAAGATGACGCGGCTCGGCTAGACAGGTTGAAGTACGTCCTGAAAGCCGGACTTTTCGAGGTTGATAGCGATATGACTGAGGGTCAAACCAACGATTTCTTGAGAGACATAGCGGAGCTGCGGAAGCGGCAGAAGACGGGGATCGTGGGTGATAGGAAGAGGAAGGATAGGGAAGAAGGGGGCGGAGGAGAGGACAGGGAAGGAGGCGGTGGAGAAGACGAGTTGAGTGGTGATGGTGGGTCAAGTGGGGTCGATATGGATAAGGACTTGAAAAGAATGAAGGCAAATTTCGATGAGTTGTGTGGTGAAGATAAGATTCTGGTGTTTTTCAAGAAGTTGTTGAATGAGTGGAATCAGGAGCTGGATGAGATGGATGAGGCTGAGAAGAGGACGGCAAAAGGAAAGGCTATGGTCGCCACATTTAAGCAGTGCGCTCGATACTTGAATCCATTGTTCAAGTTTTGCAGGAAGAAGGTAACGCCATTTTTCCTGATTTCAAAGATTAACATTGTTTTCATTTCTGATCTTTCTTTTCCCTGTTATCGAGTTAGGGAAGTAGATAGAAATAAGGTTTCAATCTAAAAGAACCAAGCTTTTACTTTAAAATTAAGTTGGAATCAATGAGAATTAGATGATGACCGCAAGATCAGTGGTACAGGGCTTCTGGTTGCCATTCTTATTATCAAAGTTGTAAATGGTATCTGAATATTTGTTGGCATATGTAATCCAAGGGTTATAAAATTCATCCTCATATTTTCCTTAGGACCATCTAAGTATATTCCTGATAAATTGAGTTTTTCTGTTGGTATTCCTTAATGCTACTTTTCCATCCATTATTTTGAGATTTATTATCTTTGGACGTTCAAAATAGCTGCTACGGGGAAGGGACTTGGAAGAAAGAAAGATAAAAATTGGAATGTAGCAACACCAAATCATGTAGAAGATCTGGACGTTTCTTTCTTTTTCTTCGTTTTCTGAATATTGGTCAATTCTATACCTTAAGAGAGTTATGAACTTGTTAATTAATTCCTTATGAAGAACTGTATATGGAATTTTTGTTAAATAGCAGTCAATAGTAATCTTATTCAAATCAGATAGGAGTTTCTTATGCCATATGAGACAGCAGTTTTTTACTTACTGGCTGCTTTCTAGTTTGATTTGAAGCTAAAGCATACTCTGCAGTTTTTGTTTTGGCTGGTTGCTTCTTGAGCCATTTTGCTGATAAATGGAAGTGACCAAGTAAAGCTGTGGCTTCTCTTCAATAATCGAGCCTCTTTTTACATACTGCTCGAGTATGATGCCACAAGTTTATCTCTGATACTGTGCTTGATGTTATGAAGTTAAATCCCCAGTAATTGCTTGAAATTGGTTTACACAGAGCATTCAAGTTTGAGGTTTAACACTGTATTTAATGACTGGGGAATTTATTTATTTCGGCAACTTGTGATAATTCTATTTCTCCATGTAACTATAGCTTTTAGGGCAATGAAAACTAGGGAAGGTGCAGTGTGGCCGATTAAATTTCAGATGCACCTTAGCTAGCTTGGTACCTGGTATATTGATTGTGTATGCACCTTAGTTAACTTGGTAACAGATAAGTGTTACCTTATTTCTGAATGATCTAAATGACATGGGTATCCCCTCAGCATATATGTCTACGTTTACATGTGTGTGTTTATGGCTTTGCTCGAATAACTTTGCATTTTTAAGACCCAGTAATAGCTTCTTGTGTCGTAATTGCAGGTTCTTCCAGATGATATCCGTCGAGCATTGTTGGTGGTGGTTGAGTGCTGCATGAAGCGGGACTACCTAGCTGCTATGGACCAATATATCAAGTTGGCTATAGGCAATGCACCCTGGCCAATTGGTGTCACTATGGTTGGTATCCATGAACGTTCAGCTCGTGAGAAGATCTACACCAACAGTGTTGCACACATAATGAACGATGAAACAACTCGCAAATACTTGCAATCAATCAAGAGATTGATGACATTTTGCCAACGCCGTTACCCTGCGCTTCCATCAAAAGCAGTCGAGTTCAATAGCTTGGCCAATGGTAGCGACTTACAGTCACTACTTGCAGAAGAGAATGTTTCTGGGGGTTCAGAGGACATGCTTAGGTTGATGCCTGCTCCGAAGGAAACCTAGTTATCATTAACATTGATGTCCTATGCTATTGTGTAACATTATCATATACCTGAGAATGTTGACTCACAGAACTTGCATATGCCCGCATTATTGCATCTTATGAATTCAACCGAAACAATCTTATGTTTTGTAAGTTTCGCTCATCTCAAAGGTTGGGGAGGCGCTTGGCCCGGTCCGGTGTCAACATCAAATAGATCGGCATGGGGAATTCTATTTCATTTTAATATATATTTATATCATTTTGACATGCAGTCGTAGTTGTTAATGTCCTTATAAATATTGGTATATGTATTTTAATAACCATATGGGTATATCTATTTTAAAAATGAGATCTAGGTTAATTGCATGACTTCAATTATAAATTCAATATTTATCATTAATGTCAAAATAAAATAATAGATTAAACTCTCTAAATTACCATTCAGGTCAGACGTTTAAGACGATGCATGTAAGTTTACCACCCAAACAAAAATCCTTACAGTTTGGGAACCGAGCCCAAGAACTGAGATCCTTTAATGCACAGCTCTCACAACAAACCGAAATATTTATTACATAATTGCCAGTAAACTATTTATAACATATTAATCTATTATAAATAATCTATTAATTTATAATTTTAATAGTATAAAAATATTTAAATAATAATAATCATTAAAAAATAATGAATATACATTTATTAATGATATATAATAATCAGTTGGTCTAGTAAGATGAGACTCTAGTTTTCTTAAGCAAAATCAGAGGTTCGAATCTTGACATTTACGAATGGAGCAAACTAGGTTGGGAGGACCGCCATCGTATTTGCAATACCCGATCCGGATTTAATCAATTAATAGATTGGATACGAACATATTATCTTAAGGTTTTTGTAAAATTATTTTTTATTAACACTTTTCAAATAATAATCTATGATTAGATTGTAATAAATTAACTAATATTCTTTACTAATAATAAATGGAAACATAATAGACAAATCGGAGAAAAAGAATACAAGAAATGGACACCAAAGGTTGTCTTGTCTTGCAATACATTTGCGATGAAAAATAAAGGATCCATAACACGGTAGTAGTATTAACTATAAACTCTATTTGTATACCAATGTTTTTATTTATTTTATTATCATCTTTATTCATATATCAACCTAATAAAAACATATATTTATTGAAAGGAAAAAAATGCATGAACAAATTTTATTAATTAGATTAAGATTATAAAAAAATAAAAAGCACTTAATTTATTAACTTAAAATTATGGTTATATTCTTCAAATAAAAAAATTAAAATGGTTAATTTGCAATTATATAAAAACTATTTAGATTAGATGTAATGATTGTGCATTAGAGGTTTATCAGATTCTGGGTTTGATTCCTTAGTCTACAAAATCATTTTTTCATAACAAATAACAGTGTTTAAACATTTTCTAATACGGTGACTAAATTGATAATATTTTGAAAATCGAATGACTTAATTATAAAGATTTTAAAAATTGAACTACCATTTAAACAATTTATCTAAACAAACAAATAAAAACATCAAAAGTTGTTGTAAAATTACTACAAAAATATACATGAGTAATGATGAGCTGGTGACGGTGTGACATAAAATAATGCAGATTAAAAATAATAACTAAATCAGATAGATTATTTATATAATATCCAACCCATTTAAATAATTGATTAATCAATAAAATAATATTTTTAAAAAATAAACAAATACACGAAAAGTGTCCCGTGACTGATGCAAACAGTCACTCAACTGTTTATATCTATGCTATAAAATATTCAGAATAAAAAATGTCGACATGCACAAAGAAAGAATGATTCTATTTAAGCTTTCGCTCAAGACAAGAGCACCCTCCCAATTATAATTTCTATTTTGTATTTTTAAAGTTCAAAAGAAAAAAAAGGTAAATTACACGCTTACTTACTAAATTTCACTATATCCTATTTCACTCACCATACTTTCAATTTTTTTAATTTGCTCACTAAACTTTCGCTCACTCTAAGCTGACATGAATTATTTTATTATTTTTTCATATGACACATCATATTTTTATTAATATTTTAATATTATTTAGGTTATAATAAAAAAATAAATTTAAAAATATTAAAATATACCCAAAACCCTAAAACTAAAATTCACATTCATGCTTCAACAGCAACGTTGGGTTAGAGCCGTCGTTGGCGGCTATCGCGGTGGTCTTCGATGGCCATTGAGCTTCAAACTTTTCATTCCAAACGTTTTTTACCTCATGAACACAAATCCACCCTTAGTTTCGTTGAAAAATGCCCCGATGTTAACGAATTTGTACTGAAATAATTGAACTTCCCTCTCTCCAATCTCCATCGACAGCCGTTGGATGGAGCTCAAATGGAGATATGTTGGTCCCTTCGTCACAACGCCACTTCTCACCGTTCGGATCTGTCATCCGATCACTAGAGTTGCCTCTTTTGAAAACCCGAAGGTAAAGTTCTTTATTTTTCCTTTTTATATTTCTTTGCTAAATGGTTAATTCCTTTTTTTTTGATTCATGGTTTTGGGTATGGTTGGGATATGGTTTGGTAACACTATTGATTCATGGTTTTGGGTATGATTTGGATATGGTTTTAGGGGGATTTTTGAAAACCCAAAGGTAAATTTCATGGCTTTTACATTCATGTTCTTGTTCAACTTTGTGTTGCTTGCTCTTACTTGGTTCCTATGAAAATTTTCAACTTTGATGCTGCAATTTGAACTGTTGGTTTTGGATTCTATTCTTGGTTTCAAACAATTTTGTAGTCGGTGGATATTGTTGATTAGCTTGTAATAATATGCTTGTTATCTTCCAGGCTTGGGGTGATTGCTGGTGAGAGGATGATCGTCGATGGAAAGATGAACTTGTCAAGGGTTATGGGTGGTGTTGTAATTTGGGTTTAGATTTTGGGATACAATTCAAAAATTTAGTTATAATTTAAGGGTATAATTATAATTTTAAAATTTATTTTTATATTAATCATTATTAAAAGTATTAATAAAATATGACATGTCATATGAGAAAAATAATAAAATAATCCATGTCAATGAGTAAAAAAATTTAATGTCTAAAGTTTAGTGAGTAAATTGAAAAAAATAAAAGTGTAGTAAGTGAAATAAGAGATAGAATAAAATTTAGTGAGTAAACATGTAATTTACCCTAAAAAAATATGAGGACTACATGGATCAAAATATGATAATACATTATTTGATTGTAGTTCTTATATTTTATTGGGTTTAAAAATTAATAAAAAATAAAAGATATCCTAAAAATTCAATGAGTATAATTATAATTTATCCTTCTAATTAGTAATATTTATTTATTTTAACTATTTGAAAGATGCTAGAATAGAAGTGGTAAATTTATTAAGTTCAAGTATAGTAAAGGGACTAAAAGTGCAATTTTACAATGCAAATATTATATTAAACAATGATTAAAGTTCCGCCTAATACAAACACACACAATCATACATCGAAGACCCAAAAAAAATCGTGAAAACCCAGAAATCCTTCCACGTACACGCAACGTGTCAGTGAATTTAACATTCCGTACAATAAAAATGAAATAAAAATTCACCCAACACTAACTCATCCTTCCCGCATCCAGCACCACCCGCTATGGATACCATCCTCCACCCTCCTCCGCCCTCCTACGCAAACTAATTCCTCCACCTCCATGGCCAAACGCCCTTGCTCTTCTTCTTCTTCTTCGTCTCAAAACCCCAGGCTTCCTTTTCATTTCTCTCGAATGGACCATCTCCTCCTCTCTTTCCTTTCCTTCGCCGATTCCTCCCTTCCTATTTCCCTCGACCTTTCCTTCGACCGCCTCCTCGATTCCTCCCCTTCCGACGCCGATCAATCGCTTCTAATCGATCGCGCTCACAACCTAGGTTGCCTCCTTCTCCGTGCATCCAATCGCTCCGCTCGGAAACGTGCTTCGCTTCATAACTCCGTCGCTTGGGTCCTCCCTACTGATCTCACCATCAAGGTAATGCTTCTATTCTGATTGAAGGGTTTGATTTTATTATTATTTGTTTTCCCCTTTTGTGATGTGTTATTGTTATTATTATCATTATTGCAGGTGTTTTCGATGCTTGATTCGCAGAGTCTTTGCTACGCCGCGGCAACTTGTTCGATGTTTAACAAGTGTGCCATGGATCCTTTGTGCTATGCCAATATTGAACTAACTACTGTCGTGCCCAAGGTTAATAATGCCGTTGTTTCCACCATGATCCAAAGAGCTGGAAAATCACTCCGGTAAGATTTGCTTTCTGTTTTCGCTATCACAATTCAGCATTTAATTTCCCTGCCTTAACTATGTTCAATGCTTGAATTGCCTTATGCGTTGTGAAATTATTAATAACAAGCTCTCTTGTGTGTGTGTGTGTATTATTTAGGAAGTTCCTTATTAGTAACTAAAAGTTTGTTTTTGCCAGTTGCTTTATACTATATCTGTTACAGAAAAAAAATAGCGCGACTTAGTATTATCTAGTTTATTTATATTTGCAATTTTTATCTTTTGAATGGTTATTTAGATCTCTTAAGCTCGGTATAGTACCTGGGGCAACTGGGTCTCCTGGTTCCAGTCAACCATTGATTTATACCATCAGGAGCTCTGTAGATGTATCCAACTTTTCATGGCCTGATAAAAGGACCAGGCAAGGAAAGGAATCATCCATTCTTACAAGAACATGCTTGTTTCCTTTAAGTGGGGACAATGGAGCCATTGGGTATGGTTCAATGCATTAACTACTTGTTTAGAATCAATAATGTGTAACAATTTTTTCTTATTAGTTGCTTTTTTCCTACTGTAAGGACTCTTTTGAGGAGGTTGCATCTTTACAATATCGAAAGAATGGACAATGCATCACTTTGTGTGGCATTAGCAGCATGCCCTTCTTTACTTGATTTGGAAATTGTTGGCCTGTGAGTTTCCTTATTTAAGCTGGGTTCAGTACTTTTCTTTCTTGCCAACACAACCCATCTTGCTTTTCCTTTTCTTTTCTTTCAGTCCACGATTTTGCAGAAAACTATAGCAGTTGGATGATGTTATGAGCAGTAAAAGCTTAAAAGTTGTTTATTAATACAGAACTATTGGTAAAAT